ATGTTAGTTTAATTGAAATTCTCCCGGTGTAGTCCGATCTACTTAAATCATACTATGAGTTTATTGTTGTGATAAAAGATTATATAAAATTCTATTAAGGTCACACGGGCTGTTGTGTGAAGCTTGGCAACCTCAATAACTATCAATAATCTCATCACCACCACCGCCCCCCCCCCCCCCCCACCCGCCTCTCGGCGATAATCTCACACGTTACAACGTTTCGGTACGATTTCATTTGACAATGACGACACACTGAAGCATTACCTGTCTTTCATGTTTGCAAACTAGATTCAAATCAAGGGGGAATGAATGGAAAGGACTGGCCATAATATAATTTCCACGACGCGATTTTCCCACAGTTTTAAATCAAATAACTGTTTCATATCACAGATCTAGGATTACGTTAATATAATACCTAAGTAAACGCAATACCATTACCTTATAAGTTATAGCGCAGCAAATGCAGCATAGGCCTATTCCTTAACAACATGAAATGTGCGTATAAAAGGTTTTCAGACGCTGCCCACTTTTCATTAGAATTGCTTTTGAATTTGTATGATCGCAGCAATCGCATGAACCCTCCTACTTTATATTTCATTCTCTAACACCCCCAGGATCCGGACTTGTTCGCCGTGATTATTAAATATCTAACCGGGAGCGTCTGCAGCAGTGCCATTCCCCGCTAATTATCACCTTATGAAAAGTGTTTCATTAAGACCCTTTGATTAATTATTGACAGTACACTGACCACATAAAAAAAATCGACTGATTGAAACAGGAACTAAATACCGATTTAAATACCGACTTAGGTCTAAATTAACTGAAATCTGCAGGATAATAAAAAAAGTTTGTTTATATTTATATATTTTATGTATATATATATAATATTAAATGCAAAACAGTCAATACTCAGCATAATGACTCATGCACGATAGATATTGACTGATGTGTGTTTTGTGTAGTAACGTTTTATTGTTATTTCACATTTACCCGCCCACGTACACGGAAATAATATTAGGCAGGTTTTCACGTAGTCAGCAGTATGTAGTAAATCTGTTTCTGGTGGATATAACTCTTCTGCTTGGAAATGTAGTCCGTTTTGCGTCTCTTATGCTTAAGTCCATAATACCACTTTTTAATTAAAGCATTGAAATGGAAATATAAATATTGACAGAGAAAATGCCCAGGGTTCCGCCTTAGATGTAAATGTTTCGAAACTACCGCTTTTATCCAGTCTGATTTTAAGCTGGTTTGGGCCACTTAATGGTAGTATACTTTAACACGCCTGCACACAACTTAATGTTAATGTTGTAAAATTTATGCTATGCACCTAGATAAATGCAATTTTAGCAGACAGTTCTACGGTTGATTGTTTTATGATAGCATATGTGGTCGGACATATTCAGTACTGAGACATACAGTAGCGTCCTCTGAGACGTCTCGAAGGAAAGAGCTGGCATGATCAGCTGGGGAAGCGCTTTGGATTACTGTGTCAGTATAATGAACAAGGTGGCCCAGAACATTCAGGAATTAAAACGTCCCCCTTTCTAAGTAACAGCTTACTGAAGGTGCGTTATTGCAATTACGAATGAAATAGCGGTGTCGGATCATTTTGATCTACTGAAGTGCTGAATCTATTCAGGCTTTGTTTGTACTTCGAAACTGTTGATGGAACTTTACCATCTGCCCAATACGTCAATGTGGAAAACAGTAACGTCGACACCTAATGACAGATGAAGATTCGCGTTGAAAACATAGGCTAATATCTTGTATTTTCTTAGTTTTAATGGTCAAAGAAGGGTTTTCTGTAATGATTTAATCTAAATGAACTTGGTTTCTTTATTGCCTTCTAAAGCATGAAGCATGTCTGATTTTTGAAGTAAAACATGACATAGGCCTGCTCTCTTTTGCATTTGTTGCAGTGTTTATTTGTCATAGTGGCTGCAAACCACATGACCATAATTTAGCAATACCGTGCAAACAGACCTTTTCTCTTTCTCCTTCCCAAGGAATCCGAGCCCCACAGGTTAATGAATCGTGAAGTGTGAAAACTTCCTAAGATGGGACGAGTTAAATAGTGTTTCCAGATGTGAGGGTACGCGGCCGAAACCTGCCAGCCTCTTAAATGGTTTACTCCTGATGTTTTAAAGATGAAGAGACCTCACCGCGGCGACTTGCCAGTTCTGTTCATTACACGAGCTTACGACCGCTGTATTTATCTAAGCGCGATATTTCCAACCAGAAGAAGCCGTGTAATCTGAAAGGAAATTTCAGAAGCTGCGCTAATACTCACTCACACGAGGAAAAACGCATTTGGAAAAAACACGCAGGGGGTTTTATTAGGAACTTATGGTCTATTTCTACTGTGATAAAGGTGTGTTTGCATTATTCTAGTCCGAGATAATGGTTACAGAAATGATAATGTCATCGTTTGTAAATAAGGAACAAAATAATGAGATTATACTGTGGAGTGCAAACATGTTAAGATTATAGTTAATAATAAAGATGATGGGTGCACAGTAATAGGCTACAAAATGAAAGCTGTAACATATATTTGCAAGTCAATGGCTGTCCATAATTTTGTGATTCTGATACATCTTGCACTTTATGTGACTGTGTGATTCTGACTGCTACGGGCCTAACTAACTGCAGTAAATGGAAACATAATCATCACAGTTTTGGATGCATGTTCAAGAACTGGCAGGGGCCCCCTTATGCCCCCCCCCCCCCAAAAAAAAAGGTAAACACAACCCCTTTTGTATGTGCTGTTATCTGTTTAACAACTATGTAAATACGTTTTTCTAAAACGCTACTCAGTAATATTTTCTTAAAGTAACTGAATTGTAATGAGTCAATGAGTATTACCGACAACAAGCAATGAGTATCTGCCTCAAACCAGTGATGGCCTTAATGATATACACAAACATGCACATGAGTGTCTGATAATTTCTTGAAGTTCTCCAGATGTCTGTAGAATGCGCAGGGAGTTGAGTGTGTCAGTAGCAAGGCTTTGAATCAGTTTAAGGAACGAAAAGGAACATTGGAAACAATCGATAGGCCTAATTCGCTAGGAACAAAAATGAAACCGGAACCTTTATATATATTTTTTTATTTTTTGGAACGGAAACATATATTTGAAATAATGGTAACGAGTAAATAATGCTATTTTTCATTCTTTTATTTATTACAACAAATGAAATATATTTTCTGTGTGAAATAACTTTGGTGTGGAGTTAACTTCCTGTCTTCCTCTGAATGTCACTCACATCTCTGGATAGCAGACATAAGTTTACCAGCAGCAGGTGGTGATATGGTGTGAAGGTGAAATGTGGTCTGGTCTCTCTATTTGCAACCAGAGGAGGTAAATATTATGCTATATACCTCATAAATGTTGGTCTTAGACATAAACTTCATTAATGTTTGATAGATAAGCTACCATGTTAAGAGAACTAATGTTGGAAATAGCTAGCTAGCTCAAGTTAGGCTAACCATAATGTATGTGCCCAATATGGCATATTAGCAAGCTTGTTTTGCTGTGGCATTAAAATGACATAGTTTCATATTTTTCCCATATAAAAGTTTCTGTTAAAAATGCGACTGCACTGAAGAAACCCAATGCATTAGAGTCAAATATCAATAGACATTTTTATACCATCCGAAATACACATATTGTCATGTCAGGCAGCCCTGCATGGAATGTTATTAACTGGTAGGCCTATTTAATTTGGTCCTAAACAGTTTAGGAACGCCAAACCAGAAACAATTAAATGACCAATTCTGCTCGGAACAAACCAATCTAAAACGTTCTGGCTTGAAGCCCTGGTTAGTTGTCTTGCCACCCATGCTACTTAACAAACTAAAATATAACTAATGAGCTGGAAGCCAAGGTCGAGCAAAAACGAACATAAATGAAGAATCCATTTGCATTAATCCGTGCATTGTGATGTGTTTCAGTATCTAATTAAAAATTTCAGACCATCATTGGATTATTAAATATTTTAAAAGTAAAGAAAACATTTGAAAAAGTCCAGAAGCAACAGATCTTGAGTGTATTCCAAAGGCTAATAATGTAGCTATCAAACAATATTAGTTTGGTAGTAGAAGATCTCTGAACACACCAACAAATTCATGTACAAGCTCATTGATTAATATTTGTGTCTTACATGTTTAAATTTTATCTTGATATGCTTGAATATTGAAATATACACATGCTGCAGCTGTTTGCCTTTAAACAAATGTGTATGGCATGTGTAACCAATTTTTACAGTAAAGAAAAATAATTTTTTTTTGCATGTTCATCTAGGGTCATGCAAGTTTTGCATGAAAGATATACAATAAGCTTGCTTATTTATTTATTATTTTAATCTATGAGCCTCTTTATTTAAGATCCATCAAACTAAGGAACACTTGATGATGTTTCCTTTGTCATCCAAAAGCAACTTCTGGCAGTCCTCAAGCTTTTTGCACAGCAACCCAAAGAACAGTACTCACAACAGTACTCACAATGTTTCCCTGCTGTCAAGACTCTAACACATGGTGTGGTATGAGGCTCACTCGTCTTGTGTCACTTGTGAGCATTCGCATTTATGTCTGACATACGGACGCAGCAAAGCCACAGAGTTACATAAGCTAAAATCCCAGCTAGGTTGACATTGACTTTAATCTCAGAAATGTGTTACTTAGATGCAAGGTTCTCACCAGATAACATGTGGCAGTAAACACTGAAGACAGGCAAATGATGGTAGAGTGGGAGAAAGGCGGATTGACAGACAATGCAGCCAATATGTGGAAAGCCATCTTGGATACTGAACTGCCAAATGCATGGTGCTTCCTAAGCCAATGGACTCCTCTTTCCCATTTTTCATGCTAAACCAGGACTTACAGCACTGGGAACAGGGTCTTGTAAAGTACCTTTCCATTTGTGATGTGACAACAAGGTGGAGCTCCAGGTTCCTGATGTTCTAGCAGTTGGCTGATGTTTCTGGGTTGTCAGGCTCTACCTGTCGGAGACAAATGGCACACAGCACATTAATGAGAGGCAGTAGAGACTGATGGATGACATTCACAACATGCTCAAATCTTCTGAGGAACTAATCAGGGAGCTAAGCTCCACTAATGCATGTATTTGAGCTGTTCAGTCGGAGGAGACGACACCAAAACGTTAAGTGCTGAGTGACACAGTTGACTATGGCATTAGACAAAGAAGAACTCTGCTTTCAAGTCTGCTGAGGATTATTTTTTGGGAAATTGGAAAAATGGCCTCCTGGTTGTTTTATGGCGAGGTATATATTTCAGGTGCAGAAAACGCTGGTGCTCATGGTCACTGTGTCACGTGGGTAGGAGACCAAAGCATCCAACTGCACTACAGAGGCACTGACCACCAGGCACGTGCACAGGTAGGGCTCAACCTGTGCAGAGCACATGCCCTTTTTGTAATTACACTCGGAAGTGCCCTTTTTTTTGGGGGAGTTTTTTTTTTTTTTTTTAAATACATCAATGCTATTGGTAACCCTTTACGTCTGTGTGTATTTTTAACAAATATTTAACCAATTAAAGGCATTAAAAAGCGCATCTCTTAGAACCGCTCAAACTGTCAGTCAAACAGTTTGAATGAACTTGGGGAGCAATGAATCATGGGATTGGTCTTCTTTGGCGAGGATGCAACCGATGTAGCTTTGATATTTTGGGATGGGGCAAGAACAACATCCTGGAATTTTTACCATCATCTGTACTTCTGTTCTTAGTATTGGAACTGGTCTTCGGATATGGAAGATGACATAAATGAACAAGAAGCAGGCAGTGATACAGCAAAACAAGAACACAAGTACAGTCAAGTAACACCCAGTGATTTCCTTTTGACATTTGTATTGACTATTGACATTTACTAGAGTGTGGTTTACGTTTTTATTCCAGATATATTCTTTTTATTTTTGTACAGTATATAACATTCACACCTAGCTGGACTTAGCATTTTGTTTGGAAATGGACCGAATCTGAAGCTCTGATTTCCTTATTCTACAGAAAAGTAAAAATCTTGGATGCTGAACTAGTTTTTCAGCATCTGCGTGGTTAAAATAAGGCCTCGGAGAACAAACAAATATTTACATTCATAGTTGGTAGTAACAGCATTCAGGAAACACTGGTCAAAAAGGTGGGAGAACATCCTGGATGTGATGCCGAGCTACATTAAAATGAAAGAAAGAAAAAAAACTTTAAACCAAACTATCAGTTATTATGTAATAGACACTATAGCACAATAAAGCCACGCATGCTGAATGTGTGAGAAAAAAGGCCTTCAGTCAGAGCTACCTTTGTGTCTCTGAATTATGTTGCCTTTCCATTTATGTTACAACAATTTATTGCATCACAATAGAATTAGTTAGATATCCAGGCGGCTAAACAATGAAACCCAGGGGACGTATTTTTACATTGCATTTCATGTCTAAGGCATTAGCTGTAAAGTTTCCTGATTCACTGTCCAACAAACCGACATATTCACTGACTGTTTTTGATAAAACGTCAGGTTCTGACCAAGCAACTTGCACTAAAACATTTGAAAGAGGAATAGAATGGCTCGATTCAGGACATCTTGAGAGCTGGGCTTATTTTTCAGTAGCGATATGGATCACTTTGCTCTTGGACTGGAAAGTAAAAAAATGAAACCACATACCGCTAACAAGTCAATAATAACGATGTTAATTAAATTCTACTATCATCCACACTGCTATGTAATGTATACTACTACCAATAGAACGGCATTAATAATAATATGTAGTATTGTGTTATACATTAATAGCAATGCCTTGACTTTGTTAAGGTAAGCAAAATATTACGCTGAAGCTTTCAGATAGAATTATTTTCAGGGGAGAGTCTAAATCTTCATTTCCTCCTGTAGCTGTACGGTTGTTAAGGGTTAGGGTCAGTCAGAGGTGCTGCTTCGCTAAGAGATTTAATAGAAGAAATGATTTCATTGATTTGGGTCTAGCCAAACACAGCAGAACATGGGGGAAATGGCCAAAGGGTATAGTTAACCTCAAGATAATTAGCTATTATTTCAAATTTCAATCTACATTAACCTTTACGTTTTACACAGAAACTACTCCTGATCATGAGCAGACTTACTTCCCTGGCTGCAGTCACCTTAATGAATCAATATACCATTTCAGAAGATATTCCACCATTTTATTGTAGTTTATACGATTATTTCCAGAATGTTGTAATGTTTTATTTTTTTCCCTTTTTAACAAGGCGTATCATCAAAATCAATAGTTTCTTTTATTTATTCCACAGGGAGCCCTACCACTGAAATTCATTGATATAAAAAGTATACAAGAAACACATCTGTTCACTTGTTACATAACTAAGCCTTCATACTGAGAAATTATATATCTGCAAAACTGATTTTTCACTGCGTCGCTCACAAATGGCAAAATGCAAAATGTGGCCTTTTCAGTTCAGAAACGTAGAGATGGGTTTGGAGGAATGAAGGGCAGAGTAAAGTACGTTAATGCAGTGACAGATGGATCCAACAATGAGTGACGCTTTACATTTACTGCACCTTGATAATGTTTTTATAATGCATTCGTAGAACATTCAGTGCACCTTCATAATGCATTCATAGAAGATTCATAAGCAGCATGCAAGTACACCTTAACAACCTAACATACCTTAATGATTTTAATATACACTAATAACAAGCATTATAATCATATAATTATATACATTTTGTTATTAATGTATATTAATTAAATTATACTTACATGCTGCTTATGAATCTTCTATGAATGCATTATGAAGGTGCAGTTAATGTGAAGTGTCACCCAACAATGCAATGAAAAACAGAGAATGTGAAACATCACTCTCCTTAATAACACAGAAAGTTTAACCAAGGTAACCAATCAGAGTGCATTTGAATGCACCATATTGATAATAGTGGTATTGATACAATGTCAACAAGAACAACAATTACTAATTAACAGCTGACATTGCATATTAGTTTGTATATGAGTTTTATAACATTATGCTCAGGCAAATGAATGTATAAAAGTAAATTATGTATTACAATGCTTTGAGAAAACTGATAATTTATCATAGTCAAAATGTTACCATTGACAGCATTACTCTCAATTATTTACCAACAATTGTAAAGTATAATTTCTGTCTTAGGCCTAAATTGCTATTGCTTCTCATCAATGTGCCCCTCTGACATGCTAGAGTGGTTACAAATGCACGATTTGCATTTCTTTAATGATCTCGCGAGACACGGAGTGGCAGCTCTGTGACTTTGACTTTTAAATTTAGAGCACCGAATTTTGACGTGTCAGGAAAATTAACGGTCAACGGCATCTTGGTTTGACTCAGGGGACAATTAAGTATTTTTTTTTTACTATTATTCTAATTAATATTTAAAATATCAATTAAGTTTTATTGAGATTACGTAGACACCACACCACTGGAGCAACCAAAATCACATAGTAGATAATTAATTACATTTAATTATTGACTGGCTGCACAGTTCAAGAGTAATTCATTAAAGGTTATTAAAGTAAAAGTAACAATAATAAAATTTGCACTGGGTCTCAGTGGGACAGGCAAGCGTGATGTTGCTCAGCATCCCTAATCTGGCGTAAATAATAACATCTCTTGTCGCTCTCCTTTCTCCACACAATTTAATAATTATTTATTCTGTATCCACATGGCTGAGCTTCATAACACATATCAGCACGTGCCAGTTACCTAGTGATTGGCATTTCTGCATGTCTACTGTAATCTCTAAATGTATAAGCATGCTTGAAAAGGCGAAGTTGCCATCGCAATGTTACGGTAATGTGGAATCCTGTTGGAAAATGAACGCTCCACATTCCCCGAGTTGTTTTTGCGACTGCCTGCCACAATTGTATTTAGCCACGCAAGCAGCAGTTACCTGCCTCAAGAAATATACATTTTAAACGCTGGTAAAGCTTTGTTTATTTATATTGACGCTCCTGTTTTGCTTAAGAGGTAGTCTGACATATGGGGTGAAACACTAAAGCTCTCCTGTTTGGCGTGTAAACACAAATGTCAGGCATATTTTCAAATATTTCAAAACACTGAGAACTGATGTTATAGTACATGGAAATAAGCCAAGTAAACAGAGAAGCTCGTAATTAGGTTTTGTGATGAGGGAAGACTTTGGTGTTGAGCTGAAAACCAATGAACTTCCTTTCTTTTGAAAGGGAATTTAAGTTGCATTTTCGCAACTTTAGCTGAGCATGTTCTAAATTGGACTTGCTTGGTTATCATTAACCCGGGCTGCTGCTTATAACATGAATGCTTTATAAAAAATCAAGCAAAGACACAAACAGAAAGTGGTGGGAATGAAACGGCGGTTAGCAAAGTGTAGCTTTGCTGTTCAGAGTTGCTGGTGGCTCGTTTGACTTTTTTCGCCCGAGTAATTTATCACGGACTATTGAGCGGAGACACGGGAGCTTTGCTGAGTTGTTGGAAGCGCGGTGAGAGACGACTCAATGCTGGAGAATGGCGTCAATAAATCTTTGCACCAGAAAAAATAACACCTGCCCAATTTACCTTAGCCAATAACTGTTTGACACAGCAATGTAGAGACAAACTGCCAGAGATAATGCTACACACGTACTTCCAGGGGTAAAACGAGGAAGGAAAATAATACAAACATTATGCTGTGACACACTGGCACCCCCCCGCCCGCCCAAAAAACCTTTCCACAATAAAGGGTTGGAAGGTGGCTTTATGGATGGATAACACACACACATTTATATCTGTATCTTTGTGGGGAACGTCCATTAATTTCTATGGGAAAAACCCTAATCCCAACATGACGACCTTAACCCATAAGCAGCACTAACCTTAACCATAAGTAACCAAACAAAATACAAGGGTTTTGGCATTTTTAGGTTTTTGATTTTCAGTCACAGGTTTTTATAGAATTGACTTTACCCTTGTGGGGACCAAAAAGATGGTCCCCACAACATCAAAATGACAA